TTGTACAAATACAAAGACAAGAGACAATAAATTATAGAAGTTCTTCAAGTCAGACCGAACATAGTACATTGTACACATGTTTAGAACGTGATAATAACGTGGTATTGCATTCCCCAGATTTGCTTTGTCATCATGACCCAGAAAGCAGGATGAATGACATACGAATGCCTAATTCCACGAGATAAAGACAGACCTGCGTCAGGATACTGGTAAGCAGCCTCACTCGTCCAAGGCCCAGCCTTCACGTAGCCACGTTTCTCCAATGTGAAAACAAAGCTACCATCTCCAATAACTGGTCTACCAGATTTCAACCGTTCTAATAAACCAACTCGCTAAAACAAACGAGATATTAATCGTTATTATCGTCTGTTTAAATTCAAATTAGGTGCATTCGCACACCACGCTGAAATGCTAAAAAGAACCGACCTTTGGACGTCAACTACCATCAACTACCCCATGCCGCCGCCACTGATCATGACATGTTTTATGCATGACATGAACTTTTAGTCTAAATATAATATCTGAACACTCATTACTATTCACAATAATCAAACATTACTTGTGTGAAATATTCCACTGCTTACAAGTCACTGAATGAGCATTTAATTGCTGTATACCCACCAAAACAAACATTTGGTGACATGAAACCCCAATTTCATTTCCATATTTCATTCAAATTAGTATCGCCTGATCACCTAGTGACACGGAGAAAAATACCCAATCAGAAACCATCTTATAATGCAAAAGAGTGATTGATATGCCATGGCGGGAAAAATAAAGGAATCATCTGAACTATGACATACAGAGCATACCCACATGACTGACTATGGGGATTAATGACGTGAAACCGATTGTAAACTGGGTTAATGCTAATAAAGCTGAATGCATGTTGATATCCACCGCCCATAACTTATTTCTCACTTAGCATGTCATACAGAATGTTAATAATAATAGTTCCTGTTCAAACAAAAACACCGTCATTCACTCTTATAATGACAAATATATATAAATAACCCACCGACACAAATAAATTACTAAGCCTATATCAGTCGTATTCTGAGGTGGATGATATTTCAAAGCTCGCTCGTGAAAACAGAATATAAGCAATCATTGGGGTTTTATAAAAAAAAAATCAAACTCAATAAGGTGACACGGACATGCTCACAAAAGCATATATGTACTAAATTTGATCAAAATCTGATCCAAAGTTTTTGAGATTTTGTCTCCATGTAACAATGCGGAGATCTTGTATATTGCAGTATGCGAGTGCTGGAGTGAGCGAGTCACAGTACGCCCTTGAATGTATGATCCGGAACGAATCACAGCGCACTTTTGAAGGTACATCTGGAACGAATCACTGTACATACAATAAGTATGTATGTTTTGCTGATTGAATGCATACTCCGTGGTGTTAGTCTACATTTATTGTGTCTACATGGACATTCAATTCAGCTACATTCAAAATGATGGTGTCATTTAAAGTGTTCAGTTCACAGCTGAAGGTTCCAAGTGTTAAAATCGTCAAATTGAGTGTATATTACATATATAGCATAATTAAATGTAATCATATAGTACAACTAAACTTACCGGCATGTTGGTAGCATAGGATGATACCAACTCACGGCACACAAACGACTATTGATATAACTGATAATCAGGATGATTACACACGAGGGTCGTTCCACTTTTCTGCCAATGTCAAAGGTCGACATTCCTTGCCGTGTCAATACGATCGTTACAGTATGGCATTTTTTCAAAACCGTAGGTATTATTGTTGTTGTAAATACAATATACTGTTGCATCATAAATTAGATTGAGTGTTCCTTCAAGTTTGCAAAATGTTTCGTTTGAATCAAGGTTTGAACTAAAATGTCTACAAAGTTATAACTCAATTGTGAGCGTATATGTGGTGTCAACATGACGTGACCTGTATGAAAGGAATATATACCACAGTGCTATCACAGGTGAAATAAATATATCAAGTGTTCTTGTTTACCACATGGGGCTGATTGATTAATACTTAATCAAGATTAAAGTTTAATAATTAAAGGGCGGTAGTCTTCGCGCCGCGCATGTGCGAGTTTTGCCCTGGGCGCCACTTCCACTAATTACCGTAGGCGGTACCTTCGACACCTTCCAAACACCAATAAATTACCTAATTAAAGCTTGGTAAGCTACCTGGGTGTACTAGTTGGTGTGCGCAACAGTCAAAATCGCCATCTTTGTTTATGTCTGTAACTTTATCTTATCTTCATCTTAGTCTTTAACTATCTGGACATCCTGTATACAATAAAATAATTGGTGTACAGTTGAAAATATTTTCCATTGTATTTGAATACGAAATCGAATAATTTATTTTACATGTAAAACTGAAACTGTAAACTATTATTTATTGATTAAGTAATAAATGCTCTAATAATATGCATCTGGTCAATTGCGATCTTACACGGTATATAGAATCCTTACATTATATCTTGGCAAGAGTAAACATGATGTAGAATATCCTAAAATGGTTGATCAGTATCCACATGGACATACGTAATAGTTTTACTGCAGTGTGTGACTGA